GGGGGGGGGGGGCGTCGGGACGCGCGTGCGCGATCCGGCGAAATTGGCAGACACCCACGCACACGACCATGCGCGCTCCTCCGGCGGGAGCTGGGTGTCGATAGCTGCCAACGAAGTGGACTACTGGCCCTACCTAGATGCTAGACCCTGCCGGCGGGGGGCGGGGGCGGGGAAACGACGCGAGCGCGCGGCCACGCCACATCGCCCCCCCGCCGCGCCGGCCGGTGTCGTGTTGGGGTGATAAGCGTGGCGTTGTGCATGGAGCCCGCCAATTGGCGACGGAGAGCGCTGCCGGGGGTTTACCTCTCGGCCTCGGCCTCCTTCTCCTGGGACCCTGTCTCGGGCTCATTCACAACGACACTCTCTTCGTCTCTTTGTCTCTTGCTTTCCCCCCCCCCCCCCCCTCGAGTGGCTTCAGTGGGTGAAAGCCAGGGCCTTTTCCGAGGCCCCACTTCCGGCCCTGGTCCGGGCAGACATGTACCCACCTCCCTCCCCCCCTCTTTCCTCCATTGCTGCTTGCGCCTCTTCCTCTCTCCAGCCGGCGCTCTTGCCCGCTTGTCTGCTCTCCTTCCCGTCCCCTCCCGCCTGTCCTTCCCTTTTTAGTGCGCCTCTCTGTCTCTGTCTCTGTCTCTCTCTCTCTCCTTGCTCCGCCCCGGTGTGCGCGCCGATTCGAGTCCCTTCTCTGCACTCCCTGTGGTCCGAGTGAGGGGTCGCTCGAGAACAGTAACAGCAAAAGCTGCCTTCGTCTCCCCATCCTTTTCCTTACACGCGCTCTTTCTCTCTCTCTCTTCCCCTTCCATCCGCCAGTGTCCGCCATGTCCGGGCACAGTGCCCCCGTGAAGACCGGCTACCGGCTGGAGCGGCTCCGTGATGAGGCGCAGAATAGCGCTAGCGATGTCCTGCGCCGGGAACACTCGGTCAAGCGTCCCCTTTCCATCCTGCAGCGTGATTCGTCCTCCGTGCGTGTCCCTTTGCTGCATATTTGGCCGCCATCTCGGCTGTCGCTGGCCGCTTGTCGCCCTGTTGTCCGACCAATTGGGCGTGCATCTTGCCACCAGTATTGACGCATGTGCTGTCCCTGCCGCCGCTGTCACCCCTGTCACCATGTTGTCCAGTTTGCCTCCTCCTTCTCCGGATCAGGAAGCACCGGGTGCGTCTGTCTGCCATTGCTCGCACGCTTGCATGGCCGCCATTGACCCCATAGACACACACACACACACACCCACATGCATTTGCCCCCTCTCCCACCTCTCCTCTGTGACCGTTACACAGCCGCGTCTTCCTGGCCATGGGCGGAGTTGATCTGGACAAGCAGCAGCGCACCCTTTCATCCCTTCAGGTTCCCGCCGACATCTCGCCGTCGACCTTCCATACGTCCGAGACCGATGTCGATGTATGTGTCTGCCCCGTGATCGTTTCTCTTCCTTTTGCTGTCATCCCTTTTGCCACACTGAACTGGCCGTGTTGCGAGTGCGCTAACCACTCTTCCCCCCCCCCCCCCCCCCCCC